GCCCTTACTGTGACCTTGTAAAAACGGCCTTTTAGCCTGAGTAATCCCTTTCTGATGCCAAATATGTCGCAGATTCTAGAAGGCAATTCTGGCTTTTGCAATTACTGAACTGAACTCAGTTGCTACATGCCCATTGTTGCTGATGCAGCAGCTAAGGTATGTGAAGTGGTCAACTAACTCGAGTTCCTCACTATCAGTAGTTTAGAGGTCACCAAATGACTGGTGATCCTGCAACAACAATGCACTTTGAAGGTGCGAAGCGCATACCAACTAGCGGGACCACTCTAGACAGGTTAGGGTTGAATGGGCAGTCCCAACATTGTTAAAAAGCAAGACAATATCGTCCGCATAATCAAGTTCAACTAGCCTTTTACTAGGCAACACCTTAACGTCTGCATCGTAAGATTCCGCGAGGGAATACTCCATGATGTAGTCCACGTCGAAGTTGAATTAACACGGTAATACTTGGCAACCCTGACGAACGTCACTTGGTTTCAGCAAAATATCCGATAACTCACCGAAGACCCTGACGCGGCCTGTAGTGTTCGAGTACTGGGCAAGTAACATGTTCACTTGTTTCATGAGGACACTTCCGCACAAATATTCCGAACAGAATGGATCGATCGACTGAATCGAACGCATCCTTGAAGTCCAGGAACACAGCTACTATCGGTCTGCGATATGCGTGGCGCTGCTCTAGCACCTGTCGCAGAGTGAGTATGTGGTCTATACAGCCACGTCCTCGGCGGAAGCCAGCCTGCTCTTCCCTAATCCGAGATTCCCGTTCCACAGTGAGGCGACGAAGGAGAATCGAGGCTAGTCATTTTGTCACGACTGGCGTGAGGCCTATACCCCTGTGGTTAGCACAGTAGGTGCGACTGCCTTTCTTGTAGATTGCCAATATAATTGATTCTCTCCAGTTATCTGGCATGGTCCCTTTCTTCCAGACATCTTCGAACAGTGAGGGAAGTGCTTTGCAGAGGACCACACTACCATCCTTAACTAGTGTGAATGGGAGGATATCCGGGCCGGGAGTTCGGAAACGATTAAGGGCTGTGATCACGTTCCGGACCTCAGGCTCCGACTGAGCCTCTAAACTAACCGTCCATGACTCAGTTTGCATCACCTGAGTAGGAAGCAGAGGGAAATGGGCCAAATGAACTGACCTAGTAAATGTTCAGTCCAGCGGGTCATACGGCACTCTATATTGTGAATCATTGCACTTGCACTGTCTCTGATTGTCCCACTGACGCCTGTTTTCCTGGGATCAGGGGTGCGGATCGGTTGAAAGAGTATGCAGTAATTGCCTACTTCTTCCGCCTCCTCCAATTCTTGAGCCCGATTGGTCCACTAGGTTTTCTTTTTTGCACACAAGCTCCGTTTTAGTTCCCGCCTAATAGTCCGCCTGGTTACATTGTGCTCAAAGCCAGTTGGGAGTTTTCTTCTGGATTCTAACAGGTTCACCGACCTCTCGGATATCCAGTGACTGGTGCGGTGACGACTGATAGTATCACAAACATAGGCTCCTGCGTCGTGTGTGGCGGCCAAGATCCTATTCCACTGGAGTAAATTGTCATTTGAATAAAAGAACGAAAGTTCAGTAAGCGGGACATCCTGGTAGGCTTGCGTGACCGAGGATCGAGATAACTCAGTTACCAACCGAGGGAGACACCTAGTACGGCTCCCAGAAAAGTTCATTGGAAAACGACAGCGTACCAAAGCATGATCAGAATGCGCACATTTGCTCCCGAACGGGTGGTAATCCAGGATGGAATACACCCCCTGTAATTTATGAAAATGTGATCTATTTGGGTCTATTGCTGGCCAACTACGGGAGGGGGCCAAGTGCCCGTGTTCGCAATTATTGAACATATTCTCAGCCAGGAATGTGGATGAAGTTTTTCGGTTATTCTCCACTTTGGCAATGTTAGTCGTCAGTTCGACTCGGCGTTGTTTTCTTCCCGGATGCGGACACTATTTATTAGAATATGCCTATCTGTGGTGTCATTGACAGCGAACGCCATGGCAGTTAAATTATGCTTCGAATTTTCCCTGTTTTGGCTACCGGATTCACTGAGCTCACCTTTTCAATTAGGGTGCGTCGCGTCCCTATTACTTGCAAGTGACATACAGAACATTACTTCACGTGCAATCAAAATCGTTACACTGTAGACAACCTGACGCGATATCCATAGCCACTTACTTTTCCCGGTATGCGCACGCGAATATTTATGCTTCCGGACATCCATCGAGAATCTGCATGTATGTGAGCGCAGTTTGGTCTTCACGGAGCAATCATCTTGTACTCACTTTTCATCCATTACCTGACTGGACTCGATTTACACGATTATGGCTTGAAGCTACTGTTAGGAGAGCTAACGCGTCGATTTAAAATTTACTCGTGCTTATTTAGTGTTTGCTTGAAAACGCATATGTTCAGTTTTATTTACTCTTCACATTTCTATTCAAATGGTCTCTTTTCATTAATTGCACTTGGATTACCGGCCTTGACCGATCCGCAAATCGTGCATCCGAAGTACTAGGTTTGATGTGTAGGATTTGAAAATATGGTAAGCTACTTTCAGCATTCTAGTAGTATAAAATATACGAAGGTCGCTTTGACAAAGCGACAGCATGAGAAGCTGCTGAACACGACTAGGGGGGGGTCAACCAGCGTTTGTCAACACTGCAAGACGCTATATCGCCTTGGGATATAAGTGCCCTCGGTTAGTTTAACACATTTTGGTTCTTACTACCATACTTCTGGCCCTCAACGGATTCTTACAGAATGGCCGTCTCCTCAGTCCTCGGCCGATGTAACTCCGTGTGGGGATGGTTGCTCACTCAATGTTGACAACGCTGGCACATCATGTGACACCCACAAGTTATGTTGCTCTTCAACCTCATGTTGAAGCTATTGCCATGTTACTCACTCAGTAGGCGCCAAGATAGCATACACTTTGCCACCTCTTTTTCATTATCCACTCTTCACTTTTTAATGTTCACATTTGACGGGTGCTCTTTAGCATGCTATTTCTCCTGACTCACTCATTGTTCGCATCACCGCATGGTACAGTATTCGGTGAATTCTTGCCAGTTTCTCTGCTGTCAGCTTAAGTCGACAGTTGTTAACTTGCACCCTTCTTGCGCCCATCCATCCATACCTTGCAGCCAGCACTTTTGGTTATTTGATGTTCGCTTTGGTCCACAGAATTAGTGTGGAGTATGCACCATTCTAGCATGCCTGTCATCGATTTATGGCATCAGCGGTGTTAATGACGTATTTTCCAAGTTGTACAGCCTCTTGGAATATCCGGATCATCTTGCTACCCGTGCGGCACCACGAGGGAGGACGAATAGGCACTCAATCGACCCACAGCTTGGAAAACAGAAGTTCATTTTACTGTGCTTTTTGACATTCCTTATTGTTAACACCATTTTGGTTTCAGGATACAGTCGCTCGGAAAGGGACTACCCACACCAAATGTACACGCACGACGATTGCTACTTTCGTGACCAATGAGTTGGGTTACGTAGTAGGCGATACCCTTTCCTCGATCTACTTTTCACCGTGAGTACGAACAGCCAGTTGACTCTTTTGCTTGCAGTAGGATTGCAAGTGCTGTTAGCATCTTTACACATCCACATCCAGGGGATTGCAACCAAGATGTTGCCGAGCTACGATCCGACTTTTTCGCATACTCCATTAATGCACATCATCCGTAAATGGACGCATCTATCTGACGGCACCCCGGTGCCAGCGATAGTCCTTAAACGTGTATCAGGAGAGCACATGTGCACGTTTGAATTTCCTTGGGTTATGCTGGGCAGCCGCTTGCCAGTGACGCACTCATTAAATTGAACGCGGGAAGCGTGCTTACCAGTCGTGCACGAACCGGAGACTAAGCCATGATCCGCTCCTTGCTTGACTCGCTTTTCGAGCTTAATATTGTCATGAAGACAATGCACATCATTCTCATTAGTAGTGATTATCTGTTCCCTGAAACCACTGGTGGGTGCGACACCTTCTAGTTGGTATTCACCTCATTGGCATTATCATCACACGACCAGACATGACAAATTACGTTAGTCCAAAAGTCGTACGTGCGGCAACACACACCTCTGTTGTTTCTGTAGCGGCAGGGTACGACAGTTGCTTTGACAGTCTCGACAACAGTCCGGCAGCTTCCCATGTCGGCCTGTTCACTGTCACTGAGGATCCTTAGTGTAAGGACCAGCCATTCGGCTTGAGATCTCTACCTCCCTATTTCTCGTCCTGCTCCTACCTAAGTGTGGGCGTCTCTGCAGTATCTCAGCTACTGTACAACTTCTCGGGGTTTTACAACAGCGAAGCGTCAATACGCAGTACTGGCGCGCTACTGCTGGTGTCTGGCTACCGCCGTTACCTGTTTACCTCACTCATTTGTGATGACAGCCTTATTTTAGGCCATTGGTGGATACCCCCAATCGATTTGTCAATAAATTTACCTTTTTTCATTATTTTCGCCGCTGCTGTTGACACAAACTCTGTTACTAACATCGGTGCTATGCTTAGTACCTTATGACTGGCTTACCATACGTTAACTTTTATTGCTTTAGGTGGACACCAGTTTAAGCGGGGTGTAATCAAAGGGCATTATTCATGTGTGTTTTTCTGTCATATTGATCATATACGAATATGTAAACTATCGGGGCGCAAGAGGGGCTCTTGTGCTGATTGTTTAAAACCGTAATTTGTAACTCACTGTGATTTTGAGTACACCCAGTTTTCGGTTTTTTGTTTGTCTGCAATAGACAGGATTTCTAGTCCGGCGTCTTTTTCTCGGCTTCTCTTGCTTCTTCCGATCTGGCTACTCGTTTATGACTTTGCTACCGCTAACCTGACATACCCAGCTTTTACTTCTGTACCTTTGCGCAATGATCCACCGGTAAGGAACTGGACATCGTTTTCCCCCTTATGGCTGATGAAATAATTCGACTCTTCTTTCTGCTCCACTCAGGTGTCCAAGGTAATGTCCGCCAGTACAGCCACCCTGAGGTACCCAAGCTACATGAATAACGATCTGATTGGTCTGATCGCCCCACTCACGCCCACTCCAAGGTTACATTTTCTCATGACCGGCTACACTCCACTGAGCACTGACACCGAGGTGTCCACAGTGCGTCGAACCACTGTGTTCGATGTGATGCGGAGACTGTTGCAGCCGAAGAACATGATGGTCTCTACTCCAGTGCAGCGCGGTGTAAATCATTGCTACGCATCCATTCTGAACATCATCCAAGGCAAGTTGGCGTTTTTGTGTGCTGAGCCTTTACTTGTTTTCACCTATTCTGTTAGTTTATGACCATATTGTTGCTGTGCCACCGATCCGCTGCGAACAGGAACACGAAATAGCATGCCTTCCTGTTTGTTCCGAGATTAACGCTCATTGTTATATCCCAATTTTCATTCGTAGACATTGTTTTTGCCCCATCATCTGGCATTCGTTTTGCATCTCCAAGGAACCGGATCTCAAGTCGATTACTGATTCTTTGCCAGTCGACCACAAGAAATTAAGATAGTCGATCAATTTATCTATCTTTGCAACTGCCTCAACAGTGCTGAGTTTACAATTACTGGTTAATTCGTTTACTTCCAAGACTACAATTACCTCCATGAATCTGCGACACATTTGCGTCAGAATTACATTCCCATTTCTCTTTGAGGCTGTGTGTGCAGTAGCACAGTGAGGGCTTTCCTTCATAAAGTGCGATTTTACCTCTTCGATGTGACTATCCTAAATGCCTTCAATCCTTCGGTCATCGTGACCTAGAGAGTAACAACGGTAGCATGTGCGCAGGTGAGTACTCGGTGTCAATGATTGGGTCAGTTCGCAAGCTCAGCAGATCGGACTGGATAGGTCACGTTCACTCATGTTCATGCACGCATGCCAACCGACTTCTCGCCGAGCTTGACTCCGTTCTATCCACCGGACTTAGGATAGCTTATGGCCTGAATAGGGGTGCCTTCGACCTCTGATGTAGCTACGAAGCCGAACTACACGCACGCATATGTATGCACCGGGGTCCACCCGCCTGTTTCTCTCCTGCTCTTCTGCTGAGTAGTGCAATAGATCCACTGTGCCTGACTCCAGCTGTGGGTTTGTTTATCGTCTATCCATACAGTGCCTGGTCACACCCGTAAGCCTTTGTCGTGACACTCCACTGACAATTCGCGTCCATCTCGCCTGCTCATTGTTTGACCTCAGTTCGGATTCGAACTGGACTTGATCAAGCGATTCTCTCTGTGATCGGTCTCACTCGGCACTGGTTTCCACTTTCAGATCGCACTATGTTGAATTCAATCGAACTAACCTCGGTCATGGCTGTCATCACGAACTGAACCTCAGTGTTGAGTGCACTGTCTGTACTAATAGTATGGGGCAAGGCGATTGCCCACCAAACTTAGCCACTCATCTGCGTCAATATTCTCATTTGCTCTCGTTGGGCGCACCTTCACTGGCATTACGACTTGGGTGGGTCGGTTCTTACCCCCTGTGTGCAGAGGAAATATGACACGCGTGTGTTGCCTTATTGTCAATTTTATTGACATTCAATCCACCAGGGACCCCAGGTGGGTCGTTGTTGTTGTTTCGGGGACTTTTCCCGCCACCTCGCCCATTCACCACCCACAGTAGACCATTTGTATCACATTTCCCCATACGGGTTCCAGGTGCACAACATTTAATTACACTTCAGACACACAAACACGATTTATACTGCTGACACGTGAGACGATGATGTCGCGACGACAATAATCACCGGGGTCTTGTTAACTCCTGTCGTTCGCACCATTCACTCGCCACTGTTTCACTGTGGAAGTGGTTGCCAAGCCAACTAGGACGACAAATGAGCCATCTGATTGACGAACATGAGAGATTTTCACCACATCTCACTTCTCCCTTGAATTCATTAGTATTTGATGCGTCAGTTCGGCGTGAACTTCGTGTCGGTTGTATTTTTTCACTAAGACTACGAGTGGAGCACATGGCCATTGTTTTTGAATAAATCAGGGGCGACGCACCGTACCTTTCTATTGTGCTGGCGGTGTACAGCTATTCCAATTTTCCTTGTCTTGTCAGTAATGCAAATTGGTGCACACTCGGCCTTCCCACAGGACAAACATGCACTAGCTTTTTATTAGGTTAAGTTACTGATGACCCACGACGGGACATCAGCAAGTTTTCGTGCCCACTGTGGTTGATAAAATCTGCTCACTTGTGACAGCAACTGGTCCCGTAACTTGGCTCCTCGAATCAGACTGGAGAATATTGGGAGCTGGCTCACAGTATCTGAGAGCGCGTGGTTGACTTCCGTTTCGATGGAGATATTAGCAACAACAGTGTCATCTGGATGCTGCTGTTTGTCCAAAAGTGATAGCACGTCAGCCTGACAGAAGTCGTTTATCGATCGTTACTTGATATTAAAAACATGGTCGAGTAGTGTTGTAACCTAGCTTTGTAGACAATTGGCCGTATACCATAGGATTCCTTCTTTGGAGCCGTTTGTCGCAAGAAGCGGTTTGTGATCCGATAGTAAGGTGACGACCATATAGCATTTCATAAAAATGCTTGACTGCACACACAATGTCCAGAGCCTCCTTCTCAATCTGGTTATCCCTTCTTTCTGCCGCAGTCAACGAACCAGAGGCGTGGGCGACTGGCTTCTTGCATCCGTCTGGAAACGTGTGCGCGGTGACCGCACCGACTCTGTAACTCGATGCATCCGATGTTACGACAATTGGTAGCTTCGAGTCGTTGTCAGTCAGCATTAGCTCTGAACTTAATAATGATCTGATTTTATTTCAAGCTTCTTGACATTCACTGGTCCAGATCCAAGGAGTATCTTTCATCAACAACCGTCTCAGTGGTCCAAGTAGGTCGTGCCTGGACCGTAGGTAGATACACCTGATGCTCTGGCCGTCGCAGAATATAATAAACGGCGCCCTATCTGATGCATCGAGCAGGATGGATAGGGGTTTGGATGCTACTGCTCAGGCCTTCTCGCCTTCTTATTTCCTCTTGCGCTTTTTTATCCATAGCGTCCCGTTCCAACTTCACTTTCGTCCCCCATTTTCAATCCCCCCATACTTGGCCCTCCCCCACCTTGCTTGAATAGTCGCCCGTCTTCTAGTTTCAATTCACAAACAAATGCAGGGCGTCGTTCCAATCCAGTCGACAAGTCCATGTTCAACCAAGTGGACAACTTGTCCATCCGTTTTCCTTTGAAGTCCTCGATCCTCGCTATGACTGGCATGCATCAATGTACGCATTTTGCTAGAGATTGGCCACCAAGCAGCACTTGATCCGACACTCGAGACTCTCTCGATCGATAGTTGCTGTTTATCGGAAACCCACCTGCAAGATTCGAGCTCCGTGCTTACTCTGCGGTCCCCCACATGCGACACTGGCGGCACATTATGCGCCTGTCTGGCGATCACGCAGCTTCTAACGCAGGTCAAGCTGGCGTCGGCGTCGCTTCTGGTCTTTGGGCTGGACCTGTCCTGATGGACTGGATTCCTGTCAACAGCCGGATGTGCGCCGTCAGGTTGTCTGGCTCGTCCCAGGGTTCGAAGTCGCGCAAGGTCGGTGGAAGTAGTTTGTTGAACAGAATGAGGAGTGGACATGTCGTTTGTTGAATAACGCATGCCTAGTTAACATAGGAACGCCAGTCCAATTTGCGCATGACATTCGCGGCACCTTTCCGGAGCCATGCGCCGTTGCAACCTTTCATTCACCGAGCATCTGTTTAAATTGCCTCTTCCCCTCGTGTACGACGTCCGGTTGATTTTCCACCACACCTCCTTCGTCTGCCGGCGTCCCATGATTTACCTGTTTCCCTTGTGCGCCTCCTTGCTATCTATACTACTCATAAGTAGCGCACCACATATTCAGCTCGAATCCTTATAATGGTTTATTAGTGCAGATGTGAGCTGTTATGGTTAACTCAGAGTTCGCCTAGTTCGAGTTTCGCTTACACGCAACTTAGCGAACAATCTCTGATAATTCAACTCTTTTGGTCAATCGATCTTACCTAGAGTGGAAAGTTGCTTCCGCCAGAAAGGCATCAACGGGTCATAATAAGTGCCTTCCACGATTTGTCGACACCATTGCATACTTGTTCACTACCATCGCAACGAGACTGGACCTTAACGTGGTGCAATGGTTTGCGTACACCCGTGACCCATTGAGCTATGTTGGGTGGCACTCCAGGTGCCTTCAGAGCCACTCATACCGGATAAGTCAATGCTTATCAGACTAACCCAGTCTCACAATCCAATCCTCTTCGAAGGTTATGGAAAGGTCGATGGCTCCCTTCCTTTAAAACTTAGCCATGGGTGACAACGGGCCTATGGGTTATAAGCTCACACCTCGATTGGTGTAGATCACGAGCGCCACGCATTGTCTCTGACGATGGGAGGGCACCTTCCGGCGCTATGGTTTTCTATCGCCCGTCTCAAGCTAGGCAGCCACTGGCCAAATTGGTGCAAACCTGCCACCTCCCACCTGCGGCTGGCCGTGGTCGCAGGTGCCTAACCTATTACGGTCGTAAAGCAAATGTGTATGGTTCTAAATCTTCAAAGGCTTATGTGACAGGCCTCAAGCAGATCCCATTAGGTCTCTGCAATCACACTCTAGCTGGATATGCTCTCCACTGCCTTGTGGTTCAGACTATTGGGCCAAAGGCTCCGGGTGGAGTCCTTCAAGCAAACTTCCGAAGCACAACCACCACTGTGCGCGCGATTGCCAACCAATGCAATCGCATGCCTGCGCGCAAAGCACTCAGTATCACGTGCTGAAACGTGCGCAGACCGTAACTTGAGTGAGCGCCCCGAGCGACTCATTGCACTGGTCGCGATGGAACTGGCGCGCTACAACATCGATATTGCGGTGCGCAGCGAGACCCGGCTCGTTTACTAAGGTAAGTTACCTGAAGTTGGAGTTACTAATTACCGTTTGAAGTCGAAGAGTCTTTTCATTGTCTCGTGTTATGCTCCTACTAGCTGCAGTTCAGATGGTACGAAATATGATTTCTACTAATATTCTTCATCTCCACAGGACGACAAATACTGACATCGTGATTGTTGCTAGTTTCATGAACGTCCACGTGGGTCGTCTTTCATACTCTGAGCAATACCTGGGAGGCCACTTTGGATTCGATGCACGCAAACATACAGTGGGGACCAAATTCTGCAACTGTGCGTTGTCCACAACCTTTATCTTAGCAGCACTGCTTTCCAGCAC